ATCCCACTTTGTTCAGTAAGTTGTTTACACTCATGCACTATGATTGCATGAGTTATGGTATTTTTGTCTGGTCTTCCCCATGTTTTGGAAATATGATCATAAGCTTCCTGGCTATGAGGTAAAATAACATGGGCAACTCAGCACCTAAACAAGCCAGTAACACTGAAGCTTACTCCCAGTAAGATACATCAGCATTGGAGGGTTGAAGCTGATTAGAAATGGCATTCACAAATTATTACATGGAAACCAACAGTGTTTCAATTTTCACAATTTCTTCAGTAAAATGGGCAAAAGCACCTACACAGCAAAGCTCTAATCCAAATCATCTAAATAAGAGGCACCAGCAGTGAAAACTTGAAATTGATCAGAAGAAACATTCACCAGTTATTACACAAACTAATATCACATTGTTTAATAAAATTTACAAATTCAGAATGGCACAGCCCATCAGCAGTGTGACTTTTCCTCTTGAGAAAAATGCACCGGCACCTAAAGTTTCAAGCCAATCAGAAGAAGCATTCTCCTGTTATTACACAGAAACCCATAACCCTATTTTTTTAAATGTTAGAAAATTGACAGATATGTATCTATGTAGCCTAAATTCATAGTGAATCTTACTCTACATCAGATGTATTAGGCAGGTAAGTTTGAAGTCATTCAGAATTTACATTTTTGAGATACAGTGAAACCTCAGTTTTTGTTTGCCCTGGTTTTAATCAAATTCGGTTTTTGACTACTTTTTTCATCAAAATTTTGTCCCAGTTTTTGTTCATCACCTTGGTTTTCATCGAGTTGACAGTGGTCCTGCATACCAAACATGTCCGCCCACGCCCACACAAAGCATCCCACACGTTCTGAATCAGTCTGGCTTTGCTTCTTGTTGGTAGAGGGTGGTAGTGATGGTGGTAGAAATAGCCTCTCCTCCCTCTCCCCTCCTCGCTGTCTTCCATACACCAACAAGACTTTTCATTAGTCCTTTATATTTATTTCTCATTGTTTTCTGTATGTAAAACTATAGTTATTCTCTATAAAATGTATTTTTTGTTAATACTTTTGGGAGTCTGGAACAGATCAATTGGATTTGCATTATTTCTTATTGGAAATGTTGCTTCAGTTTTTGTCGAATTTGGTTTTTGTCAGACTTTCTGGAATGAATTAATGATGAAAACCGAGGTTCCACTGCATTATGTGGAAAATTACACTGCATAATTTTTTAAATAAAATTGGTATACTGACACCTACACTCCCCCCAAAATTCAAAACTTTCTTCTTGGTAGGATACACCAGTGTTGAAAGTCTGAAGCTGATTTGTTAACCCTGTGAGGGTCTGTCCCATAGTTCTACGGCTTTGAAGCCTGTGTCCAAGCCGTAGTTGTACGCCACGAGCTCAGCTCGCTCAGATAAACTGTGAGCGGTAAATGTGGGTCTAGATATAGATGAGAGAATGGATCTATGTGGTAAGTGTGCACCTTATAAAACAAATCCTGCAGCATGCAGTGCATAATGAGAAGAAAACTGACTGTGTTTTTGGATTAAAACAGCGAATTTGAGGTGTATTTTCGTATGGTTTTTATGGTTGTATATGCGGCTTCTTGGTCTCATTTTATAGAATGGAAGATATATTACAGAAATAGAGATGATTTTGATTGATTTTATTACTGAAAATAGCTTGAAATTAAACTCAAAGTAGTGGAAATGTTTGATTTTTGCAGATGTTCAAGAGTAAACAAATGACGTCATGCATTCAATATACGAGTGTGCTGATATTATTTATATAATTATTACAATAATGTATAACAGTGAATCTTCTATTTTTTGGTGTGAATAAAAATTCTTTGTGAATAAAAAATCAAAATGGAATTCATGTGTAAAGCGTGGAAACATTAACAAACAGAGGAAATTTTATTTTAGTGCCAGGAATGCCTGCATTGTTTATTCTGGACCCTATTTTGAAATGGGAATACTGTTGAACTTTGTGTGAAATTGGCCGAATTACCAATTTCTGATCATCTTTGTTGGGTAGTTGAAATAGTTGACTGGGCAATTTCTTGTGCTCAGTCGATAAAATAGAAGCGATACTAGCAAAGTAGCTAAGAATTTGGTCAACTGAAATAATGTAATTGGCCTAAAATAGGAGTCAAAGTGGGCAAAATCGCCGATGCATAAATATTGCTCATGCAGTAAAATTCACAATAGTGTGATTTTGTCAATTTTCCATCAAATTTCATACATTTTGTTTTATTACTTTCAGAAAAAGATTCTTTACTATTTCATAAGACATAATAATAATAAATTTTTTTTAAATTCTTGGACCCTGTGGACAAGGCATAGTACTACAGCTTGAACCCTCAAAGGGTTAAATCCAAATAATGGAATTGCTTTTCTGTGATCATAACAATAATGGACAATTGTGGATTTAATGGACTTAATTAAATTGAGAATTAATTTACCAAGTGGACTGTAATAATAACATAATTCCAGATATAGCAGATTTTGTCGTTTCCAAACTTTGTCTGGACACCGGATTTTGTCCATAAAATCAAGATTTGACTGTACGTGTGTGTATTTTTTTTTTAACATGCTGGCTGTCTCCCACAGAGGCAGGGTAACCCCCCAAAAAACTTTCATCATCATTCACATTGTCACTGTTTTGCCAGAGTCATGCAGATATGACAGCTTAGATGTCCTTCCAAACAGCAAATATCCAAAACTCCTCCTTTAGAGTACAGGCACTATACTTCCCACCTCCAGGACTCATCTCCAGCTAACTTGTTTCCCTAAATCTCTTCACAAAAATAATACCTTGCTCACACTCCAACAGTTCATTACTCCTATCTAACACACACATACCTGCTGGATGTCCAAGCCCCTTGCACACACAACCATTACCCCCCTCCATCCATCCTTTCCTAGGACTACCCCTACCCTGCCTTCCCTCCACTGTAGTTTTATACACCTCCAAATTGTTAGATAGTAAATGTAGACAAGTACTCTTAATGGACATGCTGTTGGAGTGTGAGCAAGGTAATATTTATGGAGGGATTCAGGGAAACTGGTTAGCCAGACTTGAGTCCTGAAGGTGGGAAATGCAATGCCTGCACTCTGGAGGAGGAGTGGGGATGTTGTAGTCGGAGGGTAATCTGATTGTTGTCAGCCCATTCCTGAGAGATGGTGATTGAGTGAATGTTGGTGAATATGCTTCCTTTGGTCACCCTACCTTGGCAGGAGACAACTGTTGAATTAAAAAAAAAAAAAATGTATCTCATACCAACATGTCAAGGACTTGAACCCATAACTTGTCACATCACAGTAAGTTGTTATTGGAAGATGCCAGCAAGAACTTACATAAGTCAACATGAGAAAGTGCACCGGGATTCAAAGCAGCAAAGGACTGTTTCAGCTTGTAATACATCGGGTGATTTTAAGTGTAAGCCTTTCGTTATTTACCACTCCAAGACTTCCTGTGCTTTGAAAGGTGAAGATAAACCATCTTACCAGTTCTTTGGGGCGTGAAACCAGTCAACAAGGATGACAGAGGAATTATTTATTGATTTGTTTAAGCATCACTTTATTGCCAAACTCATGTTTTACCTACACAACAAGAACCTTGCATTCAAGGTTCTCTTCACACTTGATAATTCCCATACTCATCCAGAAGCTTTGATGGATGTACATCCAGATGTAAAAGTTAAGTTTTTGCCACCAAATACAGCATCCTTAATGCAGCCACTGGATTGTGGAATTATTAGGACATTCAAGTGTAACTAACACACAATAAGTGATTCAGAAACTTGTTGTAGCAATGGATGCTGCTTCTGAGCTTGGAGTGCCAGACTTTTGGCATAAATTTAAATTGAGATACTGTCAGCCATGTTAGAAGTGCCCCAATGAATATTAAATGTAGTCAAGGGAAAGTTATGATCTAGTGCAATGAATACTTTCACAGGTTTTCCTTCAGTTGAGAGCCAGGTGTAGGACATTGTTCAGCTGGCTAAGAGATTGACAGGTGAGGGCTTTGAAGATATGCAGGAAGTTGATGTGAATGAATGTTTAGATGATAATGAAAGAAGTCCAGAGGAAATGTTGGCAAAGCTCAGTGCTCAGATGCAAGGGAGGCAGATAGTAGAGCATGATAAGGAAGACCCTTAAGGAAAACAGTGAACGTTAGAGCAGCTACATGAGCAGTTCCTTGTTGCTGCTAAACTGCAGACTTTTTCACTGAAGATGATCCTGACAAATCTAGAAGCACTGCTCTGAAATGGGGTCTAGAACAGCTGATGATGCCTTACTATCAGCTGTATAAAGTACTGCAGGGTAGAAGAGACCAGAGATGCATAAAAGATTTTCTTGGTACTCCAGTACAACATAAACATCAGTGCAAGAGCCTCAGCTAATGATTCACCTCAGCCCAGTAGGGCCACACCATCCCTCTCCACACCTATTAAAATCAGTGACATGTACCAGCAACCAAAATTTAGATGAGAAGTAATAGTTATCTAATCTTTAAAGTTATAAGTATTTTATTCAACATAACATCCACTTAGTTACATTATTATCATTGCTTTTTGCAATTTAGAGACCTAAAAAAAATTTGGTTGGCTTTTTTTGGGGGTTTCATGGATGTAACCCTATTTTCACCATATGTTCTTCAGTTCAGTTTGCTTAATTTTTGATTACACTCTTTTTCAGAAATGTAACTACCATGTTATCTAATGGTCTGCTGTATATATTCTATGATTAAATACTGAAGACAAGACACCAGTATTGTAGCTCTGCTCCTATAGCTACAAATTAGTACATTACATTAAACTCTTGAATTTAAGACTAAAAGGTGGAAGAGGGTGACAGGTAATGCTGATACTATAGTGGTAGATAGAGATAAACTTCTTTGCTTTGATTGCAAAAGTAAGGAACAGTTGAATTCAGTTAAGGGTTTACTGTAATCTTGTACATTTATCTAGTCATCATATTTTAACATGCTTTCTCCCCTTTATTTTTAGCAGTCCAAAAGAAAAACCAAATCAGCAGTCTTTACTTGCTGTGTTAGTCACTGCAACTACAGCAGTAGTAACAACATGAATCTAATACAGCATATTATTGACACTCATGGGCCTTACAAATGTATTGCATCAGGCTGCCAGTTTGTCACAAAATCCCGGCCTGTCTTTAGTGTTCACTTAACAAACTATCATCCTAAGGTGAGTACTCAACAGTTTTTCATTTTCTACACTGGCAATTTTGTTGACAAAAATATTATCAAAACAAGTAAAGAAATTGAATTTATGTACCTCTGTATTGCAGCTGAATTTCTTGGTGTGTCCATTTCTTTGCAAGAATATATTTCTGCATTTCACTGAGCTGATTGATCATCTTTCTCAGCATCGCTCTCGTACATTAAATGAGGACGCTCAGGATATTCAACCAGAAGAAGGTGAGGTTAAAGGTGCATGTGTCAGTGTCTACAATAGTACTGTATTTGTAATGGCCTGTTTAACTTGCAGACTTTAAATTGCTTGTAGGGTCTTACTTTTCTAAAATTGATTATTTATGTAAAGTGGTCCCTCAAGTGTTTGGAACTTTGAACCAGTTTTCCCATAGAAACCCATGGTAACAGTAATGGTATGTAGAACCAACAAGATGATAATTAAGACACATGTGTAACTCCTGGGTATTTTTATTCTGAAGATTTTTGCCAATCGGAGGCTTTATTAATCAATACAAAGGTTATTTGAAAATTTTTGAAACTGGAGACAGTAGACAATAAGGTAATCAGTCCTTCAGCCTAGATGGTGTTCACCACTGTAATCTTAATGTAGTCAGATTCATCAAGACTATAGCAATGAACACCTTCCTCTTGGCTGAAAGACTGATTACCTCATCTTCTACTGTCTCCAGTTTCAACACCCTCAAATCACCTTTGTATTGAATTGATAAAACCACTGGTTGGTGAAATGCCTTTAGAATTAAGGTACCCAGATGTTGCACATGTCTTATTTGTCATAGAATCCCATGTTATAATTGGAGATGTGTTCAACCTGAGTTAAGAAAAGCAAATTCTTATGCTTGATACACTAAGTAACTACACCTCTACTTCCCTTCTCCAGATCCAGTCTAAATACTTCAACCCTACTTCATCTCTTCTTTTGGCCTTTATAGTGGGAATATTTTCACTTTTGTCAGAACTAGCTCCTAGATGGGAAAAGGGAGTGCTGTCAACCCTGTTCTAATGTAATTTTTGTTGGTTGTGCTGTAGTGGTTGGGTCACTCCACCCAATGGAAATTGGATCATTTTAGGGCATGTCTGATGCGACATTGGGTGACCATTTGGTAAGACTTCTGATTATATTTACTACTGGAGGTTGTCTTTCAGATCCAGGAATAGCAACTGAATGTTTTTGACGAGTGCTTTCTGGTTCCCCAGACAGTGTTCAAGTCTGACGGTGCCACATCATCTAAAGTTTCCTCTCCAAATGTGTGCACGTTTGTATTCAAGGTCAAGATTGTTGGCTATGTTTTCCATGCTCATAAAGCCTACAGAAAACAAGTTCAAATTGAGATGTCACCTTCTTTCAAATGCCACTTAAGTTTGATTGTTGGAATTCATGTATGTTGCATGCATATTGGAGAGAAATGTTTGTATCGGGAATCTCAGGTGAAACTTGTCTGCTTTGAGTTAAAAACAGGCCAAGTTGAACTATGGGTTAGCCTTGATTTTTTCTTGATTCATGAGGAAACCTGTAGTCTGAAAAATGTCTTGACTGTTTCCCTTAGATCAAAAGTAAATCAAGCTGACCACTAGGATATTGCATAAAAAAGTATTTCCTGGTGAAGTGTGGCTCCCATTAGGGCCATGAGTGGTGTAAATCTTGCATGATTGGTGACCTATCTGGCAAAGTGACTGAGAAACACTGATCATTTAGAAATATACAAGCAAGCCTTGTAGGGGAATGACAAATTCCTTTAACAATTCATAAAACTTAGGGTTGAATTGCATTACATCAAACTGGTAGTTTAATTGAGAGAGGTGAATAGTTTTGTAATGAAACAATTCATTGGAGGATGCATAGCCTGGTTAAAGAAGGGAATATGAACTCTGACACCTGTTAACATCTTCATTGAACAAGACAATTACAAGAGAGCAAGTCTTTATTTGGATTATGTTTTGCTTACAGGTGAACTTTCTTAGTCATGGCTTAAAAAAAGTATATCTGTGAGGAAAACTCTCTGTCTTTGTTCTACCATATCTATCAACATCTTTATTTTGCCTTTCAAATGATCCTCTTTCTATCTTGAATTTTGAAGAGATGTAAGAATATTGAATTTGTTTTAGATTGAGAATGATATGGAATTTCTCTTTGTGTTTAGCTAAGAATATGCAGGAGAAAAATCTTCCCATGCCTCCCTGAACTACTGTATGTGTAACAAGTGCTTTCCTACAGTGTCTTTGACTTGAGGAAGCAGGAGACAGAACACTGCTTGAAGAATACCTTTAGGTCCTCAAAATTTTCATCCTCTTCCTCCAGCCCTTCCTTGGACATCTCCTACACCTTCCATCCACCCCACACTTAATAAACCCTCTTGGCTAATCTATTCTGTGCCAGTCTTTCTAAATGATCAATCTCTAACAGCCCCACATCTGCTCTCTGAATTATTGTTAACTGTAGTTCTATGGCTGTGAAGCCTGGGCTCAAGCTGTAGAACTACAGCTTGAGCTCAGCTCACTCAAATAAGCTCAAATGAGCTCACTCAAATAAGCTCAAATGAGCTCACTCAAATAAGCTGTAAGCAGTAAATTTGCACCTAGATATGAGAGAATACATCTATGTGGTAAGTGTGCAGCACATCAAATGCTGCAGCATGCAGTGCATACTGAGAAAAAACCCGACCATATTTTTGGATTAAAACAACGACTTTGTGGTGTGTTTTGTATGTTTATTACAGTTGTATTTGTGATTTCTTGGTCTCATTTGATAGAATGGAAGATATATTACAGAAGTAGAGATGATTTTGATTGGTCTTAGTACTGAAAATGGCTTGAAGCTGAGCTCAAAGTAGCGGAAATGTTCAATTTTTGCCGATGTTCAAGAGTAAACAAATGACCTTGCATTCGTCGCGCGCCTAATACATGTCAGCTGGTGGCTCTAATATATGTTCACAAATGTGCTGATATTATTTATACAATTATTACTGTATTGCATAACAGTCAATCTTCTCTTTTTTGGTGTGAATGAAAATTCATTATGTGAATAAAAAATCACAATGGAATTCATTTGTTAAGCCTGAAAACATGACTAATAAACAAAGAAAATGATAGTTTAGTGACAGGAATGCCTGCATTGTTTATTTTGGACCCTATTTTGATATTGGAATATTTTAAACTTTGTGTTAAATTGGCCAAATTAGCAATTTCTGTTCACTTAATTGGGTAGTTGAAACAGTTGACTGGGTGATTTCTTGTACTCACTCGATAAAATAGAAGTAATATTAGAAAATAGCTAAGAATTTGGTCTACTGGAATAATGTAATTGGTCTAAAATGGGGGGTCAAAGTCGGCAAAATCACCAATGCGTAAATATCGCTGACGCAGCAAAATTCATGAGAGTGTAATTTTGTCGGTTTTCAGTCAAATTTCGTACTTTTTGTTTTTTTTATCTTTCATAAGAAAAAATAGCAAATTTTTTTGAAAATTCTTGGACCCTGTCTGTCACTCTGAGATTTGGCCTCTGGACCCTCAGAGGGTTAATTGGGCTCAAAACTGGTGTGGGATATTTTAACTAGGTGTGATAGTATTTATTTGTTGTATGTTTTGTTCATTCTTATAGTTTTCATTTTTGTTACTCTACATTATATATCTATTACTCAGATGTTTTTACACAAGACAGCTCCATACTGGCCATATGAATATTACCCAGATTTGCACAATAAATAATACATTTCATAATTTTCTTCTGTTCCCAGCAAAATCAATGTGATTGCTTAGGGAAAGGTAAAAAAAAAAGTCAGTAAAATATGAATGTGTTTAGATTTCAAATGTTTTTCTAACAAATTTGGGACTAATGTGGAAGTAATATATGACTACATATTTTTTTTTTTGCTTCATCATTTCAGATTCAGAAATTCCAGGGTTCCTGCGTATTGAAAGTGTAAGCACCTTAGATCCAACCGCTGCTTCACAAATGTTTGGTGATGGTTAGTACATAAAAATATAATTAATGCACCTGTATTATACAGCACTTCTAACTCGTATGCTGTACGTAGACAAATAATTATTTGATATTAAAAATAGAAACTGTAATAACAATAAAACATTTTCCAAGAATGAAATATGTATGGCAAAATTTGACCCTTAAATATGGCTGAAATATTTTTCAAAAATGCCAGATAGAGGAGGAAAGAAATCTAGCATAAAAGTAGTCTAAAGTGAAAAATAAATGTTTTTATAATACAGTAAAAGATTTAATTAAAAATGCTTTTAGAAAGGGGCCAAAATTCATAAAAAAAAAAACAGTTAAATTGAGAAAGGCTTCCTACAAAGCATTGCCTAGAGCTAAACATACAAATTATGAAGAAAGACTGAAAAGACTCCAAATTCACTAGAAAGCATGTACATAATTAACTTTTCTTTTAAGATCTGTGAATTACACCCTTTTGTATTTTTTTTTTTTTTTTTTTTTTATTATCACACCGGCCGATTCCCACCAAGGCAGGGTGGCCCGAAAAAGAAAAACTTTCACCATCATTCACTCCATCACTGTCTTGCCAGAAGGGTGCTTTACACTACAGTTTTTAAACTGCAACATTAACACCCCTCCTTCAGAGTGCAGGCACTGTACTTCCCATCTCCAGGACTCAAGTCCGGCCTGCCGGTTTCCCTGAATCCCTTCATAAATGTTACTTTGCTCACACTCCAACAGCACGTCAAGTATTAAAAACCATTTGTCTCCATTCACTCCTATCAAACACGCTCACGCATGCCTGCTGGAAGTCCAAGCCCCTCGCACACAAAACCTCCTTTACCCCTCCCTCCAACCCTTCCTAGGCCGACCCCTACCCCGCCTTCCTTCCACTACAGACTGATACACTCTTGAAGTCATTCTGTTTCGCTCCATTCTCTCTACATGTCCGAACCACCTCAACAACCCTTCCTCAGCCCTCTGGACAACAGTTTTGGTAATCCCGCACCTCCTCCTAACTTCCAAACTACGAATTCTCTGCATTATATTCACACCACACATTGCCCTCAGACATGACATCTCCACTGCCTCCAGCCTTCTCCTCGCTGCAACATTCATCACCCACGCTTCACACCCATATAAGAGCGTTGGTAAAACTATACTCTCATACATTCCCCTCTTTGCCTCCAAGGACAAAGTTCTTTGTCTCCACAGACTCCTAAGTGCACCACTCACTCTTTTTCCCTCATCAATTCTATGATTCACCTCATCTTTCATAGACCCATCCGCTGACACGTCCACTCCCAAATATCTGAATACGTTCACCTCCTCCATACTCTCTCCCTCCAATCTGATATTCAATCTTTCATCACCTAATCTTTTTGTTATCCTCATAACCTTACTCTTTCCTGTATTCACCTTTAATTTTCTTCTTTTGCACACCCTACCAAATTCATCCACCAATCTCTGCAACTTCTCTTCAGAATCTCCCAAGAGCACAGTGTCATCGGCAAAGAGCAGCTGTGACAACTCCCACTTTGTGTGTGATTCTTTATCTTTTAACTCCACGCCTCTTGCCAAGACCCTCGCATTTACTTCTCTTACAACCCCATCTATAAATATATTAAACAACCACGGTGACATCACACATCCTTGTCTAAGGCCTACTTTTACTGGGAAAAAATTTCCCTCTTTCCTACATACTCTAACTTGAGCCTCACTATCCTCGTAAAAACTCTTCACTGCTTTCAGTAACCTACCTCCTACACCATACACTTGCAACATCTGCCACATTGCCCCCCTATCCACCCTGTCATACGCCTTTTCCAAATCCATAAATGCCACAAAGACCTCTTTAGCCTTATCTAAATACTGTTCACTTATATGTTTCACTGTAAACACCTGGTCCACACACCCCCTACCTTTCCTAAAGCCTCCTTGTTCATCTGCTATCCTATTCTCCGTCTTACTCTTAATTCTTTCAATTATAACTCTACCATACACTTTACCAGGTACACTCAACAGACTTATCCCCCTATAATTTTTGCACTCTCTTTTATCCCCTTTGCCTTTATACAAAGGAACTATGCATGCTCTCTGCCAATCCCTAGGTACCTTACCCTCTTCCATACATTTATTAAATAATTGCACCAACCACTCCAAAACTATATCCCCACCTGCTTTTAACATTTCTATCTTTATCCCATCAATCCCGGCTGCCTTACCCCCTTTCATTTTACCTACTGCCTCACGAACTTCCCCCACACTCACAACTGGCTCTTCCTCACTCCTACAAGATGTTATTCCTCCTTGCCCTATACACGAAATCACAGCTTCCCTATCTTCATCAACATTTAACAATTCCTCAAAATATTCCTTCCATCTTCCCAATACCTCTACCTCTCCATTTAATAACTCTCCTCTCCTATTTTTAACTGACAAATCCATTTGTTCTCTAGGCTTTCTTAACTTGTTAATCTCACTCCAAAACTTTTTCTTATTTTCAACAAAATTTGTTGATAACATCTCACCCACTCTCTCATTTGCTCTCTTTTTACATTGCTTCACCACTCTCTTAACTTCTCTCTTTTTCTCCATATACTCTTCCCTCCTTGCATCACTTCTACTTTGTAAAAACTTCTCATATGCTAACTTTTTCTCCCTTACTACTCTCTTTACATCATCATTCCACCAATCGCTCCTCTTCCCTCCTGCACCCACTTTCCTGTAACCACAAACTTCTGCTGAACACTCTAACACTACATTTTTAAACCTACCCCATACCTCTTCGACCCCATTGCCTATGCTCTCATTAGCCCATCTATCCTCCAATAGCTGTTTATATCTTACCCTAACTGCCTCCTCTTTTAGTTTATAAACCTTCACCTCTCTCTTCCCTGATGCTTCTATTCTCCTTGTATCCCATCTACCTTTTACTCTCAGTGTAGCTACAACTAGAAAGTGATCTGATATATCTGTGGCCCCTCTATAAACATGTACATCCTGAAGTCTACTCAACAGTCTTTTATCTACCAATACATAATCCAACAAACTACTGTCATTTCGCCCTACATCATATCGTGTATACTTATTTATCCTCTTTTTCTTAAAATATGTATTACCTATAACTAAACCCCTTTCTATACAAAGTTCAATCAAAGGGCTCCCATTATCATTTACACCTGGCACCCCAAACTTACCTACCACACCCTCTCTAAAAGTTTCTCCTACTTTAGCATTCAAGTCCCCTACCACAATTACTCTCTCACTTGGTTCAAAGGCTCCTATACATTCACTTAACATCTCCCAAAATCTCTCTCTCTCCTCTGCATTCCTCTCTTCTCCAGGTGCATACACGCTTATTATGACCCACTTCTCGCATCCAACCTTTACTTTAATCCACATAATTCTTGAATTTACACATTCATATTCTCTTTTCTCCTTCCATAACTGATCATTTAACATTACTGCTACCCCTTCCTTTGCTCTAACTCTCTCAGATACTCCAGATTTAATCCCATTTATTTCCCCCCACTGAAACTCTCCTACCCCCTTCAGCTTTGTTTCGCTTAGGGCCAGGACATCCAACTTCTTTTCATTCATAACATCAGCAATCATCTGTTTCTTGTCATCCGCACTACATCCACGCACATTTAAGCAACCCAGTTTTATAAAGTTTTTCTTCTTCTCTTTTTTAGTAATTGTATACAGGAGAAGGGGTTACTAGCCCATTGCTCCCGGCATATTAGTCATTTCCTCCTAAAACCAATTTCCACTGCTCTGTTCACTACCCTTTATATGCATTGCTCGTAGGTACAAAATGTTTTTTCAGTCATTGAATATTATCCTTGATCAGTAATCTTGAGCTTTTACATTTTTACAGATTATGATGGCACATCAAGTCAGTCTGTTTCCAGTTCATCTCAGGTAAAGTCGTTACCAAAGCTAGTTCCTCTTGAACAAGGATTAGCAAATAATACATCTGGTGCCACAGTAATAAATATTGGAAATACTTCAATTTCTGGTCCTATTACTTCTAGCATGCTTGAAAGCAAGACATCTCTCTCTGTTTCTGGAGTGTCAAAAAGTGGAACAAGTGCTTCTTCAAATGAAAAGACACCACCAGTTAAAATTATGTCATTCCCTGGAAGCTCTCACACTGGGGCAGTTTCTCTTGGAAATTCTGATGTATCTTCTGACACAATAAAAATCACCATTCATACCTCTCCACAGTCATCTGAAACAAAGAAATCCCAACCAGCAGTTGTGACACTTGATGAAGAAGGAACAGTGATGAACCCCTCTCAGAGTGATCACCGACCACCCCCTGGAATTGCCACACTTCCCAAAATCCCTCCCACTGTTCCTGTTCAATCCATATTTCAGGCGTGAGTTTTTCTTATTTTTAAATGAGTGAAATATTTTGTTTAACTTTCTAAGCATTTTTGTGGGATGTACAGTATATATAAAAGAGTGTTCAGTATGTATAATTAGCTGACTTTATTTATTTTTTTTTTTTTCAACAAGTCGGTCGTCTCCCACCGAGGCAGGGTGACCCAAAAAAGAAAGAAAATCCCCAAAAAGAAAATACTTTCATCATCATTCAACACTTTCACCACACTCACACATTATCACTGCTTTTGCAGAGGTGCTCAGAATACAACAGCTTAGAAGCATATACGTATAAAGATACACAACATATCCCTCCAAACTGCCAATATCCCAAACCACTCCTTTAAAGTGCAGGCATTGTACTTCCCATTTCCAGGACTCAAGTCCGACTATATGAAAATAACCGGTTTCCCTGAATCCCTTCACTAAATATTACCCTGCTCACACTCCAACAGATCGTCAGGTCCCAAGTATCATTCGTCTCCATTCACTCCTATCTAACACGCTCATGCATGCTTGCTGAAGTCCAAGCCCCTCGCCCACAAAACCTCCTTTACCCCCTCTTTCCAACCCTTTCGAGGACGACCCCTACCCCTCTTTCCTTCCCCTATAGATTTATATGCTTTCCATGTCATTCTACTTTGATCCATTCTCTCTAAATGACCAAACCACCTCAACAACCCCTCTTCTGCCCTCTGACTAATGCTTTTATTAACTCCACACCTTCTCCTAATTTCCACACTCCGAATTTTCTGCATAATATTTACACCACACATTGCCCTTAGACAGGACATCTCCACTGCCTCCAACCGTCTCTCGCTGCTGCATTTACCACCCAAGCTTCACATCCATATAAGAGTGTTGGTACTACTATACTTTCATACATTCCCTTCTTTGCCTCCATAGATAACGTTTTTTTACTCCACATATACCTCAACGCACCACTCACCTTTTTTCCCTCATCAATTCTATGATTAACCTCATCCTTCATAAATCCATCCGCCGACACGTCAACTCCCAAGTATCTGAAAACATTCACTTCTTCTATACTCCTCCTCCCCAATTTGATATCCAATTTTTCTTTATCTAAATCATTTGATACCCTCATCACCTTACTCTTTTCTATGTTCACTTTCAACTTTCTACCTTTACACACAATCTCAAACTCATCCACTAACCTTTGCAATTTTTCTTTAGAATCTCCCATAAGCACAGTATCATCAGCAAAAAGTAACTGTGTCAATTCCCATTTTGAATTTGATTCCCCATAATTTAATCCCACCCCTCTCCCGAACACCCTAGCATTTACTTCTTTTACAACCCCGTCTATAAATATATTAAACAACCATGGTGACATTACACATCCCTGTCTAAGACCTACTTTTACCGGGAAGTATTCTCCCTCTCTTCTACACACCCTAACCTGAGCCTCACTATCCTCATAAAAGCTCTTTACAGCATTTAGTAACTTACCACCTATTCCATAAACTTGCAACATCTGCCACATTGCTCCTCTATCCACTCTATCATATGCCTTTTCTAAATCCATAAATGCAATAAAAACTTCCCTACCTTTATCTAAATACTGTTCACATATATGCTTCAATGTAAACACTTGATCTACACATCCTCTACCCACTCTGACTTTATATGATTATTATATACTGGGAAACAGGTAATGAGGCTGAAGAGGTATGGCAAAGATTTAAGAATGCAGTGTTAGAATGTATAGCAGAAGTTTGTGGATATAGGAGGGTGGGTGTAGGAGGGAACAAGAGCAATTGGTGGAATGATGAGGTAAAGAGAGAGTGGTAAGAGAGAAAAAGTTGGCTTATGAAAGGTTTTTACAAAGCAGAAGTGATATAAGGAGGGTGGAGTATGTATATGGAGTGTAAAAGAGAGGCTAAGAGAGAGGTGAGGGAGTGTAAAAGGAGACCAAATGAATGATTGGGTGAGGTTCTGTCATCATATTTTGCCGAGAATAAGAAAAAGTTTTGGAATGAGATTAATAAGTTGAGAAAGCCTCGTGAACAAATGGATTTGACAGTTAAAAACAGAAGAGGGGAGTTATTAGATGGGGAGTTGGAGGTATTGGGAAGATGGCAGGAATATTTTGAGGAGCTGTTAAATGTTGATGAAGAAAGGGAGATGGTGATTTCATGCATTATTGGCCAGGGAAGTATAACATCTTTTTGGAGTAAGGAAGAGCCAAATGTGAGTGGTGGTGTGGGAGGCAGTGGGTAAAATGAAAGGGATGTAAAGCAGCTGGGATTCATGGGATCATGACAGAAATGTTAAAAGCAGATGGGGATATAGTTTTGGAGTGGTTGGTACTTTTGTATGAAATGGTTCAAATGTATGAAAGAGGCAAAGGTACCTAGGGACTGGTAGTGTGTGTGCATAATTCCTTTGTATAAAGGAAAGGGGGACAAAGGAGTGTAAAAATTATAGGGAAATAAGTTTATTTACAGTGATTGTATTTGAGTGAGGTGAAAGTGTTGAATGATGATTAAAGTATTTTGTTTTTGGGGATTTTCTTTTTGGGTCACCCTGCCTTGGTGGGAGATAGCCGACTTGTTGAAAAAAAAAAAGTTTATTGAATATACCAGATAAAGTGTATGGTAGTCATTATTGATAGAATTAAGGGTTAGACAGTGAACAAGATTACAGGCAAAGAAAGAGGCTTTAGAAAGGGTAGGAAATGTATATACAGTGGACCCCCGGTTTACGATATTATTTCATTCCAGAAGTATGTTCAGGTGCCAGTACTGACCGAATTTGTTCCCATAAGGAATATTGTGAATTAGATTAGTCCATTTCAGACCCCCAAACATACACATACAAATGCACTTACATAAATACACTTACATAATTGGTCGCATTGGGAGCTGATCGTAAACCGGGGGTCCACTGTACCAAGTTTTTACATTGAAGTATACAGGTGGAAAAATATTTAGATAAAGGTAGGGCAGTGTTTGTTGCTTTCATGGATTTAGAAAAGGAATATGATAGGTTGGATTGGGAAGCAATGTGACAGAAGTTGGAAGCGTATGGTGGTAGGTAACTGAATGCTGTTAAGAGTTTCTATGAGGATAGTGAGGCTCAATTTAGGATATGTAGGAGAGAGTGAAATTCTTTCTTCTTTCTTTCAATAAACCGGCCGTATCCCACCGAGGCGGAGTGGCCCAAAAGGAAAAACGAAAGTTTCTCCTTTTACATTTAGTAATATATATAGGAGAAGGGATTACTAGCCCCTTGCTCCCGGCATTTTAGTCGCCTCTTACGACACACATGGCTTACGGAGGAAGAATTCTGTTCCACTTCCCCATGGTGAAGAGGGAAATTATTTTCCAATAAAAGTAGGCCTTTGATGGGGATGCATGGTGTCACTATGGTTTTTTAACATATTTATAGATGGGATTGTAAAAGAAGTGAGTGGTAGGAAGTTTGGGAGAGGTGTGAGATTAAAATATGCAGAATCTAACACAAAATGGGAATTGTCACAGCTGATTTTTGCTAATGACACTATTCTTTTAGGAGATTCTGAAGAAAAGGTACAAAGGTTGGTGAACAAATTTAGGAGGGTATGTTAAAGAAGGAAATTAAAAGTGAACATAGGGAAGAGCAAGGTGATGAGGGTAACAAACATGTTACATAATTAAAGACTGGATATCAGACTGGAAGGAGGGAGTATGGAGGAAGTATGTATGTTCAGATATTTGGGAGTAAACTTGTTTGTATGTGGGTATGTGAAAGATAAGGTGAACCATAGAATGACGAAGGGATAAAGGTGGGTGGTGCATTGAGGCATCTGTGGAGACAAAGAATGTTATCCATGGAGGCAAAAGGGAGAACGTATGAGAGTATAGTGGTACCAACACTCTTATATGGGTGTGAAGTATGAGTTGTGAATGTTGCAGTGAGAAGGAGATGAAGTTCATAGAGAAACTCTGCCAGTAAAGATTTGCTGACAGTGAAAATACCTTAGTAGCATCAAGCCTGCCTTCAAGAAAAATACAGCTTATTCTGTTATGTTATATACTTTATAATAGCATATATATTTGTAATTGTTCTGTACAATATACAGTGCATGTTTTCTAATTATTTTTATTACAAATCACCTTGGCTTGACCATTGGGATAAAAAAAAAGTATATTTGGTACTCTGTATGCTGGAAACAGTGAAGCTCTTAGCCAAACAAGTCTGGCATCTGGATGAGAAAATTCATATTACCTACTTGGCAACTAGGTACTCATCAGCCCCTGATAAAAATATGGTACTGTATATGATTGAAATATGCTTGTCCAGACCCCTGAAATTAATATTGCTCTTAGTGTCCACTTTAAAAAAAAAAAAATCTTCTGAAGAGGTAGAGAATCTTTTTCTGAAGGTAATAACACCAAAAGTATGAAATTTGATTAAAAAAAAAATGTACAGAATTGCACAAGCACCAAGTTAGCAAATTACTTGTCTGCAATTTTGTCAATTTTCAGTCCTATTTCAAGTCAGTTCCATTTCTCCAGTCGAACGGAACCTTAGCTATTTCGCTATTAACTGAGCACAAACTGGCCATTCAGCTATAAAAATTACAGTGGAACCCTGGTTTTCATTCTTAATCCATTCCAGAAGGCCTGTCGAAATCCAAAATGGATGAAGACCGAAGTAATATTTCCCATAAGAAATAATGTAATCTAATTAATCCATTCCAGACATCCAAAAATGTTAACAAAATTACATTTTATAGAGAATGACTATACAGTGGACCCTCGGTTATCGGCCGTAATCCATTCCAGAAGGTCGGCCTAAAACTGAAATGACCGAAAACCAAAGTAATAATGCCCATAAGAATTAATGTAAATACAATTAATCCTTCCAAATGCCCAAAAATATTCACAAAAAAATAATTTTTTTAAAGATATAGTTTTACATACACAGAACAATGAGAACTAATAAAATAAATACTTGAACAATTAAATCGGCATTTCATACCTTTACT